AAAAAAAAAAAGACCTAAACAGCAACACAATCAATGCTTCATAATTATATATATTAATGACATGCAAAACTCCAAGCTCCAGGGACGAGCACTCAGTAGAAGGAAGGAGCAGCCTCACAGGAGAAGCAGGTCTTGAGAAAACCTTTAACTTTCAGTCACCTTTCAGCTCAGCTGCAGGATCTCACCCCGTCTCCTCACCTCTCCTACGGAAACAAACAGCGATGCCCTCTCAGGACACACCCGCCGACAGCCCCCCCCCCTCAGCTCAGCCTAGCGGCCGCTCCAGCTCTCCCTCCCCTGACGAAGGCAGCCCCAGGGGCAGGCAGCAGCCGGGCCGGGGGCGGCCGGGCCCAAGGCTTACATAAGCGCGGGGTGCGGGGACGCCGTCGCCCGTCGGGTGCCCGGGAGCCGCCGCCTGAGAGGAGAAGGAGGCCGAGAGGAGGCCCCGCGCCTCAGCGAGCGGCAGCAGCGGTTCGCGCCCCCGCACACGGAGACCCTGCGGGCTCCCGTCCCTGCAAGAACCGACGGGCAACAGCCATACCGGGAGAGGAGAGAAGGAAGCAAGAGAAAGAGAGACCTCGCTGCGGCCCCTGTCCAAGCCCCACCGTCCCACAGTTCTGGCGCGCACCCTTCCCGCCACCACCCCCTCACCCTTTCCTCCAGCGCAGCTGCCGCCACCTCCAGCCGCTGCCAGCCCGCAGCCCAACAACGCGCCCGCCCATTGGGCCGCTCCCGCCCTAACAAGCCCCGCGCCGATTGGCTCCGTGCCTCCCCGTCCTTCTATCATCCCCCCTCCCCCTCACCTCCGCTCGGGCTGGCGGTATCGTCGTGTGCCCGTGAGCTGCCTCGGTGAATCTCCGCGGCGGCAGCACCGCGGGAAGCGGGGGGCCGAGAGCAGCCTCAGAGCTTCCACCTGCACGGGGCGGTGGCGTTGGGGAGGGAGGGGGGAATGAAGCGGAACGGAAGCTACGCGGAACGCTCGTGCCCAGCCGCGCTTCCGTAGCGGCTCCGTTCGCTGACTTCCGCTTCCGGGCAGCCGCTGCGTCCTGGTGGAGGGTCGCGGAGCGGGCAGGTACTGAGCGCCTGGAGCGGGGAGCGCGGGGAGCAGGCAGGCCCGGCCCGCTCAGCCGGGGAGAGCGGGGCTGCCCTGCGCCGTGCCGCCCGGCCCTTCGCGTTCCGTTAGGCCGCCAGTTGCACCAGCCCAGGGCCGCGTCCCTTCTCGGGGCAGAGGGCACCCGGCTGTGCCGCACTGCGGCTCGCTGCCGATGCGTGGGACAGCGGGGGGCTGCTCGTAACCCTACCGGTGGGGAAGTAAATACTGGTAGGAAACAAGGTCGTGGATTTGCGTGGCAAGGTTGCAGACAGACGGTTGTTTGGTTTTTGTGCGTGTTTCTTTTTTAAATGTATGTATTTGTTTATTTTTAGGAACAGATGTTTTTCAGGTAATAACAGTGTTAGTTATCTTGTTCAGATATGCCCTTCCATCCCTTTAAGCCCCCGCAGCAGAGGCTCTTACAGCACTGCAGACTTTGAAGCTGTCATCTTGGCATGCTTTCATTGCAGACAATTCTCCTACAAACGAGGGCATGAAAGCTGCTCTTTGCTACCAGATACATGCTCAAATGGGAAACTCATGTTGAAAGAAGTCTCACTATGTTGTGGAAATAAAGACTTTAAAGCAGTCACTGAATAAAATTGTAATTACGCTAGAATGTTCAAAACAAACAGTGGCTGTAGTGTTGTATGGAGTTGGTTTTTTCAAAGGCAACCCTGGAGAAGGGTCTGGAGGAGAGGCTCAGGGGAGACCTTAGTGCTCCCTACAGCTGCCTGAAGGCAGGTTGTGCTGAGGTGGGGGGTCAGCCTCTTCTCCCATGTAACTAGTGGTAGGACTAGAGGGAATGGCCTTCAGTTGTGCCAGGGGAGATTCAGGTTGGGGATTAGGAAATACTTCTCTGAGAGAGCAGTCAGGCACTGCAGTGGGCTGCCCAGGAAGTGTCACGACCCTGGAGGTGTTGAAATGTTTAGATGTAGTACTGAGGGACATGGTTTAGTGGGCAATATGGTTGGACTCGATGGTCTTAGAAGTCTTTCCCAACCTTGGTGATTCTATAACCCTAAAACCTCTTAATGTTTAACACAGTTAATTCCAAATGTAGTAGTATCTGCATCCAGTAGAATAATTTTAAGAACTTTACACTTAGTGTATCCTGAAATTTTAGAACTTATGTTTTAAAACATTCTTAGTGACAGCAAGAAATAAAAGCTCTTTGGGCAAATATCAAAACAAAACAAAACAAACCCTCTTGCCTACTGTTTAAAGAAAATGATCCATTTTCTTACAGTACATGAAGGTAATGCTTTAAGAAAAGTGTCTTAACAGCTTCCAGCTTCTTTGCCATGTACAAGGAAACAAGATTGCTTTCTCAGAGAGTAGTTCAGCTGATTATCCTGGATGAGTGTATTACAATTTTATTAGTCAATGATATAATAATGCTAATCTATGAAGTGTTCAGTATGCTATTATGGATGCTTTACAGCTAATAATTTTGCCCATTTTTAATATTTTTGTATGTGCATTAATGTTTTTAATAGGCTACCATTCCATAAGAATTTTAACATCTAATATAATGCCCTATTCTTTTATATTTACATTTAGATCTTCCTCTGTTGTTTTTTGTAGGTTTTTTTTTTATTTGATAGTAAACTGTGGAGAGTAAATGTAGATTCAGTTAAATTGAGTAATTCACAGGTGTTCACATCTTTGAATTCCAGTTATTGAAGGTATTGGTTTAAGCATAATAGTCTTCTATAAGGGTCTACATAGGTCACTAACTTGAGATTACTTTTTTTTTTTTTTAACATTCCATATAGTGACTTGTAGTTGTGAAGTTGTCTCTCCTTTTCAAGCCACATCACTATTTTTAAATTCTAAATATGCAATTAGGGATATTTTTCTGACTTAGTGGGAGGAAAAACCTGTAACATGGTTTCTTAGTTGGCATATTAAAAAAAAAAAAAACTACAGTGTGGAGTATTTAAACTATTAATCAGATATATTTACATAACACTATGATATCAAACCCAGGTGAATTATTCTTTTAGTTTCCTGGGTTGTGTGATTTTCTGTTGTTCAATAATGCAGATTCTTCTGTTCCTGGGCAATGTTTGTGTTATGTTAATGCAGTGTTTTTGAAGATCTGTGTTAATGGTCTTTTTTTATTAGCAAAAATTCCATTTCTTTTTTCTTTCCATAGATAAGAATGTTATTATTTCTTTGGAAATAGTTTTATGTGAAGACTCTTGCCTTTAGACATACAGCACATTGAAGTAACCACGTATGATTTCAGACCAAATACCAACTGTTGTTATATGTGGGAAAATTATAAAATCTAGCACAGTTTGCTTCTTTATCACCAGCTTCTGAAATGCAGTATAAAGTCTCCTAGTACGTTTTTCAAAGGTGCACTGTTCACAGAGCAGAAGAATGCTTTGTGTGCAACGTTACTGGTTTGGAGTACTTTTTGTAACAACCTTGCTCTTCCTGTACAGGATATTGGTACTTCTGAGTGTTTGGAAGATAAGCTGATGGTCCCTGAGAACTGAAATTCACCTTTGGTTGTAGGTATGGGGCATGGAGGTGAACATGGCCATGGCCATGGCCGAACAGAACTCCCTGACTACAGGCAGTGGAAGATAGAGGGTACTCCACTTGAGGAGGTCCAAAGGAGGTTGGCCAAACGGGGTCTCAGGGATCCATGGGCTCGGTAAGTGCATGAGCTTCAAAAGTAATATTAAGATGTTGTCTTAACATAGTTTTGTTCCCCCCATTATGAACTATATAAACTTTGCTCAAATACTCCTCAATCTTAGTTTCAGAGTAAAGTCAGAAGATGTAAGAATTGTGTACCTAGTTTAGGAAAGTGAGTCTGATACTGCATTAGTGTTGTTTGCATCTCCTGTAAACTGTACCTGTATAAAGACTTAAGAGCTACTACAGTTACTTGAATGCCTACGTGATAGAAATGTTACCATCTCAGTGCATACCCAGAAATAACCTCAACGTTTTTCCAAATAACTTTTGCCATGTTTATCACACTGGCTCCACTGATCTTGTTTTATTCTTTTGGTTTTATTTTCCTTTTAGTAATGAAGCTTGGAGGTATATGGGTGGCTATGCAAAACCTGCCACCTTAACAGATGTCTTTACCAGGGGACTCAAGTGGGGATTTGCAGCTTTTGTTGTTGCTCTTGGCATTGAGTATGCCCTGTTTCCCCCGAAGAAGAATGGAGGACATCACTGAAGATCAAATATGACAGTACTTTTCACTACTAAAATGTACAAAAGCCTGCTGCCCACTGTACTTATAAAGAGCATATTAAAGTCTATCACAGGTAAAAGCGTGTTGCTTTGATTTTATTACAATTTTGTAAAAGGATCAAGAAGAGAAGCCAGAGCCATTTCCCTGACTTCAGTCTAGGGAAGGAAAACAAGGAATATATATACTCTTGGGCTTGCTGTACCATCTCTTAAAGGAAAACAGTCAGCCCAGCTCTTTTAAGTCCTGCCAACATCCTGCTGAATGAAATTGAGACAGCGTGATGCTTTTGAGCGAAAAATTCTATTTTACTCCTTACAGATTTAACAGCTGTTATTTGCTGGTAAGGGATCTTGCATTACTTGTTATTTTTTAAAAGTATAACTTATACTCTTTTGTCTCTCAGTAAGAAAAAATGCTACCTTAAAGCTTTAAAAAGTATCCAAACTGCCTAGAAGTGTGTGAAAATACCAAACCTTATGCTTAATCATATTGAAGACACTAACTTACAGATACTATGCACCAAAATAATCTGTTCTTTGTAACATCCAGAAATTAAAACTCATGTTTCTACCACATTTACTAAGCAAAGTAGTGTACATTTCACTCAGCAATAGTTGTACCTTATCTTAGCATGACCTCCGATACACTTGAGTGTAAATAAATGAAACTGAAAATAGAGATCAGTTGTTTTTTCTGGTATACAATTCCAGTTATAATTTTGCATGAATACCGCTTTCTTATACTATTTTTTTAATATTATTTTTCTTTGCATTATTCCTCTTAGAGTGCTTTTTGAATGCTCTTTTGGAGGAGATATTAAAAAAAAAAAAAGGGCCTTTTGGCACTGTCTGGATATCCTATTTTAAATCTTTGTTATGCCCTCAGTAAGGAAAGAAAAGGCAGTTATATTGTCTAAGTTTTCAATTCAGACACTAGGGTAATTATCACTAAAAAGAAAGCAAAATTGATGCTACAAACCAGTAGATAATTATATAGTGCACATCCACTGTGAATAAAGTGGAAAGTTTCTGAGGTAGCCATGTCACATATACAGGTTTATTAAAATAAAATTGAAGCTCCTACCAAATGGCTTAAAAGTATCTTTAAAATATGTATTTATACAACATTTTTAAGTGGAATTACAATGGGGCATTATTTTTAGAGCCAGTAAGCATCTGTTGATTTGAGAGAGTAGCTGTAGTGTTCAGTGGAGTTTTATATCTCTGCGTGACATTTCTCAAAGCTCTGTTCATAGGGCACACAACAGCTTTACTGAACTTCTTTTTTGCCCAAAGTCTTTTTGAAACGTCTCCACACAGTTTAATCAGTCTGTGAAAAAGCAAATCAAGAACATACTATGTGAAGTCCACTGCACCAAGTATTTCCATGTTGTCCCTTAGGTACACCCAGAAAGCGTACACATTTGCAAAAGCTAATACTCACTTTTCTCCCCCTCTATGTGGACCTAAGACTAAATTGTTTAAGATTTCTTCTGAACAACAATCTAAAATTCAGTTAACTATTAAGAGCTAGCATTACATGTGCTATCAGTGAATCTTAGCTTTGAATGCACATTTCTCATTTCAGCTGTTCCCATACTTGCTGCGTGTGCTGACACAGCTTTCCACTGCCTCCCAGACACCCTGCCACATTGTATAACGCTTCTGGAAACTCTAAGCGATAGTTGCTCTTGGTTTTAGTTTCTTGGTAAAGCTTGTTTTCATACTATTCTATAGGTTCACATTTTATTGGTCTCTGTTCTTTGTTGAATGCTTCAGAGCCTGAAGTGAGGTTGCTACAAGTTCCTCTGGGATGAGTCTTTTAAAACATCAGTCCTGCCACTTCACCGACTATTACAAACGAATTAACCTTTAAAGGTCCCTTCCAACTCAACTGATTCTACTCTGTGATTTACAGCAGCTGAGGAGATACGTTTTTCTTTTCCTGTCACTAGCAGATGGAAGCATATTTACAAGATACGGTAAGCACATTTTCAGAATGCATAACAGTGTGCTGCTTAGTTTAATTGGGCAAAAAGATTGTAAAATACAAAGATACAAACTAACGTGTTCCTCAGTACCTTTTTTTAAGGGATCATTTGGTTCATCAAGAGTTTATCCTAGGCGACCACGATTTTACATAAGCATATTAGGCATACCAGCTGTCACGCTGGACTAGCATCATTAAAATTCCTGAATTTAGGAATCACCATGGGATCATTCAGGGATGTGATAGCTAGGCAGCGCTTCGGCCTCAGCCCTTAGCTGCTGCCTTAATTTACAACGAACATATTTTGTCAACATTGTGGAATATAAAAATATTATACACACACAACTCCTACAACAGATACGAAATAACACTAAGCTTTCCTGAGAGCGGAGTCCTACCTGCCGGCCTCACGGTCGAAGAACCACGAAGGTGAACCTCCATCACCGGGGAATCACAACGCTCCGGGAGCCGTTCCGCGCGCGGCGGCCGGCGGGAGGCGCCGCGTCCTTTCGTATCGCCGCGCCGCCATCTTGACAGACGGTGGGCGAGTTTGCGCAGCTCGGTTCGCTCTCCTGGAGGAGATGATGGAACCAGAAGCGTAGTCCTCGCCTCGCCTCGCCTCGCCTCGCTCCGAAATACCCGATACCGGAGCCACGATAAACCGTAAGGGCTGACGAACGTGGCGCGGCAGAGAATAACGGAGGGTAAGGCAACCGAGAGCACCACCCTCGTCCCTCAGCGAGAGGGATCTCGACCTTGCACGGCGACTGCTGCTACCCACGCGCAGGGGCGGCTGAGGTCTCCAGTAGCCTTGGGAAGTATGAGGGAAAAGCGTTTAAGTCGTGCTCTGAAACACAGAAGGGCGTCCCTCGCCGCCCTGCTCGAAGCCTCGCCCGTTCCCATGCCGGACCCGGCCACACTGCTGTAGACGAGACCTTCCCGGCGCGCTTGGGTGCGTTATACTCCCCGCTCTTCCTTTCCCCGTGCCCTGCTTTCCGCACACCCTGCGCGCTCCGGAGCGGACCCTTCCCTGCCCGGCAGCGGGCCGAGCCGGATGTGGTGCGCGGCCACCGCGCTCCCGGGGAGACGTGAAACCCGACACTGCCTTCTGTGGCGGGGTTTGCCTTGGAGATGTGGAGAGTCCTTTCGCTTGGCTTTTCCGTGTGTGATTTAAAGTGACTAGTAAGAAAGCGGAGTGGAAGTCTACGTAAACTCCCTGGAATAAAAGCCAACTTTACTTGTTTTGATGAGCAAGACTGGGGTTCTTGCCATCTTTAAATGGCAGTTCGTGTGGTCGCTGGTAATGTACGTGGAAAGTTACTCAAGCCTGGCAGAGGAACAAGAAGTGTGAAAGGTCCTTTCTGAGACTTCTGTTTTCCCTGCTCGTTCTTTTACAGGGAAATTTGGAAGCTGGGAAGCACGCTGAGTAGTTTTTAACGCTGAACAAAGCCAGATCGCAGATTTGAAATGCAGGGGCTTCCGCATGAGCTCATCAGTGAAGGAAACAAAGAGCGCTTTCCAAATAACTATGGCACTGATGTTATATCCTGTTTTTGCTGCCGCAGAGACGGTTATGAAATGTTAAAGAAATGAATGCTGTCTGAAATGACAGGCTTGCTTAGACCTAGTTTAGAGTGTGAAATGTTTCTTCATCTCTTTTGAAAGGCTTTCTTAACGTGAGGCTTGAGATATGACCGTATCCTGATTAGTACAGCATGCTATTTGCCTTGCTAATCACACCGACATTTGAATGTTGCACAATGTCTGTGTTGCAGTCGTGGGAGCAAAGGTTTCGGCATGGTGTTAAGTATCAAAGAGTAAAATTGTTTGAACCTTGTACAGTCTCCATTTGTTAACGCTGACAGGGAGTTACAATAGCCTTGCCTGTCCTTGTGTGTGAACTTTTAGTATGCTGTTACTTGCTGCATAAAAAAGGTGTCCTTGATTTTGGTTCTATGCTGTATGGACTATCCACAGCCTGAAAAAGCTCAAAAATAGGAGTATGATTAAGTTTATTAGCATCAGAGAAACTGATTAACATAGTGGTGGGTTTCTGTCTGCTTCTCTGATGTGAAATGGAAATGACTTGTGCTTTAAGGAGTAAATATGTTTGTTTATACTCTCATGTGTTTATTCTAAAAAACAAAAATTTTCTGAACCTTCTGGACTGTTGGCACAGTCACAGGTCAGTCTAGGCTTAGGCAAATAGGATTGTCAGAAAGGTAGTTTCCCATGCAGTAGGTGAGAAATTAACCAGTAGGTGTCAACTCAGCTTTACAATCTTACGTTTTGTTCAGGGAAGCTTGAAAGTTAATGATAACCAGAAATTAGTATTCAGGTGCACTTTGATCTTAACCTCCTTGAGGTTTTTCTCTTAGCCTTTTTGGGGGACAAGAGGACTGATGAGTCCTAGAATTGATGGTTTTATTTCTGGAGATAATACAGGTATCAGAATAGCCCCTTTTCTGAGAAAATCTGGAGTGATAGTGAACTAAAATAGCCAGACTTACAGAAAACTGTCCTCCCATGGCTTGTTTTCCCTTACTCTGCCTGGGGGTTTCCTAGCTCTTCTAACACGAGGAAGGAAAATGATTTCTGTGCTCTGTGTAGGACAGTGTCTTTCATTTACCACCCCTAATGTGACCTTTCAGTGTTGGTGGTGATGTCAGACTTGAGCTATTTGAAATGATTAACCGTCTTCCTGTTCCAGAAGCTTTGCATTGAAATATTTATTTATTTAACACTGCACTGAACAGAAAAATGTTCAGTATTTTGTTGTGGCAATATTGGCAAATCACATGTGCACAAGAGCACACAACCTGCTGGGGCAGTTTTAACTCTATGAACTTTTGTTTTCTGTGTTGAGAAGATATACTGTTTTTTTCTCAACTCGTGTTTTTGGATGTAAAGATAAAAATGCTGTTTCAGATACTGAAGATCTTCATGTTGCTCTTAGTCGTTGCCCACTGAGAACCCTCAGGGAGGGAGTGCTTTTAAGTTATACATTTCACTTCCTCAAGTGCTTTTGAAAATCCTGGCTGTAAGTACTTGGGGGGTGCTTTCCTATGGGAGCATTCCCCCTTCTGGAATAAATTCAATCTCACAAAAAAGTTTGTTTTTCTGTGGGCCATCTCACAAATAATACTTGATGCTAGTTTGAAAATCAGAAGTTAACAGCAAAAATGTCTTTCCCCTGATAGAACACTGTACAGAACAGATTACAGTTCATGGGAGTGGAATTCCTGCTTATGGATCCTGGCTCCATCCCTTCCGGTCACTCAGGTGCATTCCATTTTCCATTGCATTGCACTGAGTGCACCTGAGCTCCATTGGGGTGGCCATGCCTTCCACCAGGTGCTCAATCACTGCTTCAGGCCATGACTTAGCATTTCCACTACAGCTGCGCTTCTCCAGTTATACCAAGCAGATCCTTGTGTGAAACAGCATGTTCAAAAGTACACTCATTTTGTCTTTACAGTTCATTTTTGTTGGAAACACTTTAATTACTTTTCAGCTTGTTCCTAAATGATGTGATGTGATCTCTTTTGGGTTCTGAAGAACAGAACTGTGTCTGAGGATGTGCTGCTTTTTCCTGGTTCTGTGCCATAGCAGAAGTACCCTAATCATGCATCTTCTGTATGTGTTTAGAAGTATGTGTTGAACGCACGTGGTATGTGGTACATGTAGAGCTGACTGTTTAGGAGACTGATAAGCAAAGGTTATCCACAGCCTTGTTACTGTTAGGTGCTTTTGAATACTCTGTGCTACTGAAAATGAGCTAAGTGGCCTCGATGACATTTTGAGTATTACAAATACATTTGGTCTCATTTGCATGGTGGTACAGAAGTGTAGGAGTTTTTAAACTAAGTAATACTTGGGTCTTCTCATGTGGTGAATGTATAATATTTTACAGAAACTTATGTTTTGCTTCTGAAGGTGGCACCTTGGGGTCATAGCAGCTGCTTGTGTTAAAATCCCCTAGTAGTTCAGTCATGTTACCAGGAAGATGATTCTTTTTTGCTTTTTTTTCTTCTTTTATTCTTTAAATAGTGATGTCTTTTCCTGCTGTTGTGGTTGTCATAAAGTGGAGGAAAAATCCACTGCGGTCTTTGACTCCATAGAAAATATGGTTCACAAGCGTAGCTGTAGATAAAGAGACTTTGCCATAGGAACTTGAATTTGATTTGCTCTTTTCGTGAGTAGTAGAACTTAGCCTATGGTTTACTCTGATCCAACTCTTACACATTCTCTCTGTAAAGTCAGTTAAGTGTATAGAATTATTTTTTCATTTAAACAGCTCTGAAATTATAATTGATTTTAAAAAAGATTTTAGATGAGTTCTCCTTAGCTGCTTAATGCACAGACATAGCATGTGTTGTTGAATGTGACTTCCAGGGCTGAAACTCATTTTAAAAAAATGTTACCCTAGTCTTCCAGTCTTACTGCATATTAGTCTTTGATGCTCCATTGGGTTTTGTTTTACAGTGTGGTTTACACAAAACCATATGCAGTGTATTAACTGAACTGCTTGTAAGGGCTAAGATTTATCTTCAGATTGCTCATTTCATCTTTCTCAGTGTACGTAATGGGGATCAGAGAGGGACAGATAGGATTTCCATAGTGGCAACGGAAATTGATCATAGCACCCTAGTTACTTTGTTAATCGCGAGGGTTTTTTTTCTTTCTAGTTTTGATTCTTCTTTCAATTTTCAGCATGGGTATCATGTGAAGAAAGAGGTGGTCTGTGGCTTATCTCTGCCTTCAGAGTTAACTACTTGGCATACTGAAGGTTGGAATTTTTTCTTTTTGAATGCTTCTTTGACCTTATTGAGCCTGGAGAGTGTGGGGGAGGAACCCTTCAAACCCTGGTAACTCATTCAGAGTGGAATCATTTAAAGTGGTACTAATAAATAAGGCAGTCTACATGTTTCTGAATTTGAAGTTAACTAATATGTAAAAATATTATGTTGTTTTGGTTTTTTTTTAACTTTGAAATGGATATCTGATAAGTGTTTCTATATTTAGTTTGTTGTTGTTTTCATTGTTTTGTCTACGGTATGTGGTTACACTACCTCTTAATTCTCAAAATGTTTCCTTTAAAATGCCTTGAGACATTTGGGCAGGAGACTGAGTGGTGGGTTTTTGGAAAAAGATCAGGGCTTTAGACTTCAATTGCACTTAATCTCTTAAATGGAACTTAATCTCTTATTACCAGAAACCCCTGAAATACAGACTTCTTATCAGCAAGCTGATGACTCTTGTTTCACTTCCTATGGAATTCACAGGCTCGTGTTAAGGTAATTTTACTTTAAATGAACTTCCATTTTTTTTCTGATCAGTATGACCTACCAAATACTTCTTGTTCTGTAATGAACATCTGGGAGAACCCCTTCAGAACAGGAGGGCCATGTAAACTAGGTTGGCATTTTAGTTATAAGGGAGGTATGACAAATAGGAGAGTTAACTGTGATCTTGTGCAGTAGATTTAGAAGCTTTTATTTCTCTTCCACAGAATTCCTTACATCAAAATGCATATAGTTACAACTGAAGGCCAGAGACGTGCTGTAGCAGACACAGACTTCATGTCATGTTGGCCTCCTGTTTAAAAGAAGGAAGGCTGGCAGTTTTAAAGGGACAGCAAGAAAGTGATGACCAAGTGCCAAGTACCAGCTGTCCTTATTCACCAGATTGAAGAAGAATTGGATAAAGAAGAAGATGAGATGATGATTTTCCTGTGCCGAGACCTTGCCCCTGACTTGGCTACTGCTGGCCTTAGAGAGCTTTTGCTGGCTTTGAATGAAAGGGATAAACTATCTCTTCTTGGTTTGTCTGAGCTGTTGTACAGAGTTAAGAGGTTTGATTTGCTGAGGAGGATCTTGAAGACTGAGAAGACAACAGTGGAAGCTAACCTTAGCAGGAATCCCAGACTTGTCCCTGATTACAGGTATCTATTTCAGAAATCTTCTGTATTTTCTTCAAAATACGTGTGTGTTTGTTTAATTTTTAACTTGTTTGTTTAATTTGTCTTGAGAGTGAAAGAAAAGCAGAAAAGAACATCATATAAGATGTTCTTATATGAACTTCTTAGTTCATATAGTGAAAAGATTGTCAAGTTTAATCCCTAAAATAAACCTTAATAACTTCTTGACGGTCAGGGCATTGGAAACATCTATCTTTGAAGAGTTTGTTTATCTTAATTTATGAAAACTGTGATGATTGTGTGGTTCTATTAGCAGATTAGCAGATAGAAATGCTCTTTATGGAAGTGTCATTAATTAGATATAGTGTCTTTTCTGGCTTGCTTTGGGCACATAGCCTCACCATAGCTTTTCTTGGGTGACCTGTCCCTTACTGCTCTCTTTTATTGAGCTTTAAGAAGCTTAAATTAAGAGAATAGAGTGATCTTCCCTGTGGGATTTCAGAAATGAATACATACAATCATAAGGAAGATTTTCCTGTGCTGACATCTCACTGAAATAAAAACCCTATCACTATTAGGTTAAAAGTCAAAGGTGTGTTATACTGTCTTGTATTCTTTCTCTTAATCTCTACTGAAATATTAAGGAGACTATTTCTCCAGCAGTCAGTCTGAAGTAATACTGGTGCTGACAAGCATGATGAGATATTTTGTAATTGGATATTGGAGCAGAATAGTTGTGTGTTGTTGTTTTTCAATGTTGTTGAACTGGGAATGTTATGTGAAGACTGGAATGTGGGGAAGATTGGGTAGTTGAACAAGGGTAGGATCTTGCTAAAAACCAGTCCTTTAGAAATGTCTCAATTTTATTTCAGAGTACTAATGGTGGAGATTAATGAGAATCTGGAAAAAGAAGAAGTGAGTTCTCTTGTTTTTCTACTCAGAGATTTTGCTCCTCGAATGAAAATGTCAAAAGATAAGGTAAAACCTTTTTTCTCATCTTTTCCTCTAGAGCAAAGAGATTAAAGTAAAAAGGGAGGTGGCTAGAAGGAGAAGAGGTTGTACCATAATGGATGGCAAGGCAGGAGTAGGGAGAAGTCAAGTGTGAAAGGAGAAGTGGTTTGTAGTTCATTATTTTGTTGATGTTCTTGTTTTTAATGCAAGAAAAGAAGCTAAAGAAATAGTTGGAGAGAACTCTGAATAGTTTCTGTAGTGAACAGGGTTACCATGAATCTCACAGGCAGAAGACACAAAGTAAAATCTCTCTTCAGTATTGCTGATCTGAAAATACATATCTGCAGGATCTCAAACCATTGATAGTATTAAACATGCCTTGATGTACAAGATCACTTTTTATGTTTGTGTTCTTCCATTTACAAAAGCATAGGGTTTTCTTAATAATGTCATTCTTTGTATATTTGCATTCTGAATATTTGTTCCAAGTGCCAAAGAAAGTGAGGATTCAAAAAGCTTGGCCACTGTGTGCACAGAACACTGAAGGCTTCTGAATTTTTAATTTTAACCAAAGGAGGGGAGAGATCCTGCAAATTTCCTAAAGCTTTTCTTATCTACTGCTTTATGGCATATGAAGTGATATTTCATGTGGCTGGCTATGTAGTAACAACGAAATGCAAGGCTGTTTCCTCAAAACCTTTGAATTGTTTCTAAGTCTATTACATCCTAATAATAATAATAATGCTAAGAACTCTAATATTTTCCAGGTAATCTCCTCTTAGCGTGTCAGCAATAACATGCCTAGTTCCTGAAAATACAACCTTTACCACCTGAACATACTATTTTGAGTCTATTTTTTAGCAATAAAGAACAAATGACTGATATGTATTAGGACTTGAGAGAACAGCATGAAGCTGTGTTGATGAAAGTTCAGGCTACATGTTAGGAGAAAGTTGTTCACTGGAATGTGGATGGGCACTGGAACACGCTCCCCAGAGCAGTGGTCACGGCACCAGCTGCCAGAGTTCATGAAGTATTTGGACAACGCTGTCAGAAATATGGTTTGGGTTTTTTTGAGTGGTTTTGTGTGGAGACAGAAATTGGACTCAGGAACCAAGGATATTCTATGGTAACAATTTGGTTTTCTGTTGCTGTTACAGAGTTTTCTACGTCTAGTTATTGAACTGGAGAAACTGAATTTGGTGGCTCCAAATCAACTGGATTTGATAGAAAACTGTTTCCGAAATATTCACAGGATAGACCTAATTAAAAAGATTGAGAAGTATAAGCAAGAAGGTAAAATACTTTTGCACTGCTTAGTTTTGATAATAAGGGTTAGATGCAGTCTTACTAAAGACAAAGTTACAAGTCAGACTGTTTGCATGCTCCAAGGAATTGGTCTGTTCAAGCAGGTCCTGTATCATAGTATATTTCTCTGTGTGTTTCTGTTCAATTTTCAGCTTTCATGTCCTCCGTTCATTCTCAGCCTGTATATGTAAATGCCCTTCAGGCATCTCTCCCTAATCTCAGTCTGATTGATCCTCCTTACAATTCAGGGGTAAGTATATAGTAACTCAAACAGATCCTTTGTATCTAAACATTACAAGAAAGAGGATTCATCTTTGCAACACCTGAGGAGTGAGAAATGGCTAGTAACAAGAATACTGTTTGGGTTACATTTATTGTTTCTGTTATGTACTATGTCTAAGGCCCAATAGAAATTTTGACTGTCAGGTTGCCGTTCAGTAACTCCTGTGATTTATATATAATATATATTATATATATTTATTTATTTGTATAATATATAAAAAATATATATTTTTTTCTTATTAATGAAGAATACAAAATCCTTTCTCTTAAAAGTTTTTTTTCTACTACTCTGGGGAGTGGAAGGTTTTGTTTTGAGTGTTTTTTGTGAAACACAATTGTCTTATTATATTTGTGGACTTTGCAGAACACGGGGATAATAGCTTTTAAACTTTAGAAGCAAAAAGTTGTGGCTTGCTTCAGCTGTTTTCTTTGCTTGTGTTTATTTTAATCTGATTTTAACCAAAGTCTCTCAATATGTCAAAAGTCACCCACTCAGTTACTTTCAGTCAAACCCTATTGTGTGCAACATTGTTTATGTTTGACTTAGGTCTGATGTTGTAATAATACTGACCTTTCTTGAAATCTTTAATCTTGCATAGAGATGTTTTCTGATATGTTTTTAATAAACATCAAGCTTACATAAGAACACCATTGATCCAATTAGCTCTTACGAACAAAGCAACAGGTTTGTTTTCCAAACTACTAATGGGGAAGAATTTGTACTGACTTTCATATTGTAATGATTTTGTTTTAACTTCCTTTTGAATTTTATGAAAGTTTCTACTTACCTTTATATAGGTAACAAAAGGTAACAAAAGTCCCTTTAGAGGGACTTTTACTACCATAGGAAATAAGCTTTCCTTTGCTGTTCTTGGAAAACTGATTATTTTTGGGGGGGGAAAGAATTTTTCTCCCCTTTTTTTTTTTTAATTATTTATTTAAAATTCTAAGTTGGATAAGTTTGAATCCAAAAGATGTAATCCTTTTGTTAAGGAAAAGAAATATTATCACATGGTATTTTGAAAGCATGATTACTAACATTGAAAAAGAAAGGGAAAATAGAATTTTCTTCGTTTTAGTTTCAGAATGTGAACAAAGAAAAATCACAAAATGGAGAACTATTTCAAGGTAAGAAAATTTTTTCTATTATTTGCTGTCTAAAGATTAGCTGGTTTAGAGCCGTACAATGAATTTCATTTACTGAAAGAACAATTTTTTGATGGCTGTGTTTATGGCTAAGATGGTTAATGTCACCAGGAGCAGAGAGTATTTGGTTCCTCTGAAAACTGAGCCTTATCTTATTATTTGTTTTGCTTGTATTGCCAGATCTTAAAACTTTCTTGGAATTGCTGGTGCCTTCCACTTAAACAACTTTTAAATAGAATAAATATTAATAAAATAGTGGAAGAGGTTGACTATCCAGTTCTGGAGAGCAGTGTAGTGCATCTGTTCCCATTAGGTCTTGACTAGGAAGTTTTTGCATCAATTTAATTGTGGATCCTCCACCAGGCCATCTAGGAAGTTTTCCAATGAGTACTGTGTGTGCTGTATTCTTTTTGGGAACTCACAATACCTCTCAAATACGATGGTTTTAAAGAGACTAGTTGACTGAATTCTCTCAAAGTAGGGGAGAGATTGTTTTTATTTCTTATTGTTGTGCTGTTTTCCTTTTCTAGTCATAAGTAATGTAGAGTGCAATCCAAATAACATTTTAGTGTGAGCATTTTTGTTATTTTCTACTTCAGTAATATACATAGGAAGTAGGAGGACTAGGTGAGAGAGAACTTGACCAAACTGTATAGGTTCTTTTTTATCTCTGTTGCTGTCAAAGAAATAGCTACCAATACCTACACACTGAGATTGCTTCTGTATGTTTTAACCACAGAAGAACCAGTCCACATGTCTATTCAAGAATCAGGACCAGCATCACATAAGGTAAGTGCTTTAGCACTTATGATGCATGTATGCAAGTTTAAAAAAAAAAAAAAAAGAAAGAAAAAAAAAGAAAACCCAACACAGTAGATATTTGCCTTAGTTTTCCTTAGGTGTTTTTTAACATTTTCTTTAACTACATGCAACAAGAACGTTCATAGCTTCATCAGCAATAAATAGATTCTGTAAATTGCTCTATGTAGTTTTAATGTAAATTAAATGTATAGGGAATTGCCTATAGCAAGCTGATCCTTAGCTTATTAAAGGAGAAAGGGATTGTGCAAAGTCATTGCAGATAATTGAATGAAGAGGCTTTACACTGTTGTACTAAATGAGGAAATGAATGTTGTCTTGATAAGCAGTGTCTACTGCATCCCTACAAATCACAGAAGTTGTCTACTTATGTTATGTTGACAGTGTGAAACTTAAAGTTCCCAATATCATGTTAGCAGTAACACTTCAGGAATTTAATATGGGATCATTGCACTCATAGGTCAGGTCTTTCAAAAGCTCCTCTACCCCATTTCAAACTTCCTTCTCCCATTCCTGGTCCGGTCTTAGGTTATGGATCGTTAATGTAATAAGATAGAATAACAGAATATGAAAGTTAAGGCCATACAGGAAATAAGGAAAAAAAAAATCATGGATCCATGTCTCCTGAAGTTTTGTTACATAGGTAAAAACATTGAATTCCAGGAGATATGCTTCTACTGGTTACTCAATGGAAAAGCAACAGAATATGATTGAAAGGCCTAAAGTGATTAAATTAGACAAAAGAATCAAGTCTATAAGATAAGAGAATGACATAACAATTTGGTATTTATTTTTCACTTTCCTCAGGTGTACAGAATGCAAAGTCAGCCTTTAGGAGTATGCCTGATTATAGACTGTATTGGTAATGACGCAGGTAAGTCTCTGGAAATTGAAGTTCCTTTTCTTATTTTTTTCAGGTAATTAGAACATAAAGAATATGATGCATATTTACCAACAAACTAGAGTCATGTTGTCTTAGTCAGCTTTTCTGTCAATTACAGTTAGTCATCTAAAGAAAGAAGTTGGGAGGCCCAACCTGAGACTCTTTGAGTGAAGGAACTTAAAAAGGGATAGGCTGATGTGAGGGGGAAGAAAATTACATCCAGAGAGACCAACAGAGTACTTATGCTACAGCTGCACAGTAGGTTATTGGCAAAGATGGTAAAGAAAACATCTGCCACCATTCCATAAAAATGAGCCTGTTGCAGACTGGAAGTGTAATTAAAAAAAAAAGACACCACTGATTTTGAATAGTTGAAAGCAAATGGTCCTTTGTTAATAACACTTCCAGTCCAAGTTGCATGTTACTCAGTTTAACTGAAAATCATAATAAAAGTAAAAAATACATCTAGAATTCAAAGTAACCAGTACTGTGGTTAAAATGTGCCTTTTTCTAATCTCATCAAAAATAAGAATCTTTACATAAGCAAAAAAACAAACCCACAAAAAAAAAATCCCACCCTTCCTACCACCCCCCAAAAAAATCATTGGAACACATGAAGCTAAAATTAAAATAGAATGCTTGCAGCCAATTTTTATTAGACTAGGAGATATAGGAGAAGATCAGTGAGATATCTTTTTTTCTTTCTTATAAGGACCATTAGCAGGCAGGTCAACTATGATTATTGATGCAATTAGTGAAGAGAAGTGGATGCAATGCACAGACACAGAAAGTAAAATCTTACTGTCTGCTTGATAATATTTTAGGTAAATGATATAAAACAATACAGTTTGCCACTTGGGTACAAGAAACTAAAACTTATTCAGGATCCTGCCAGTTGTGAATGAAGGACAAGGGAAAACACTGAACTCACATGCAACTGGAAAACATCCTTTAGAATCTGTTTTGCTGGGATAGGCAGAAAGTTTATGAACTTTTGTAGCAAAATTAAATAAATTAAATTTTTAAAAAGCCCCTAAGAATGCAATTACTGTGTATAGAAACTAAGTTCTTCAATCTAATGTACGTCATTTCTGCTCTTAAAAAGCGTTACGCCAGCTTTGCCCCAAGAAAACAAAGCCTGCCAAGATGTGAAGGACAGGGTCAGGGCTTTTGAGACTTTAAATAAACAAATAAGTAAATCCTGCTCTGTGAGGAGGCCTACTTCTTCATTTCTCCTTTCTTCTCTCTTTTATGGTGGCTTTAATGAGCAAACAAACTTTTTGATGCAAGAAACTTATTCATCTGGAAGGCACATATGCTTCAGAGAACCGGTAATAAAGAAGGAACTACTATGTCAGTTCACAGTCAGAGGTGCATAAATTTAGATCTAAATTTAGATCATCATTTGAAGGCACAGATCTTTTTTCCTGGCAATGTAGACCCCCTTGATATGGTAATTACAATGAAATACAAATATATGCACAAAATTTATGATTGCTGTTCTTGTGCTCATGTATGCAATTCAGTATTTGCACAAGAACAGGAAATATAAATATGAATAAGAAAATTCTGCTGATTTGAAAGAATTAAGATGGATTACGTTTTCAGCAGATTTACCTGCAAATCATGGATTTTCTGCTGTTGTGCCAAAATTACCCAAAGCAAGTGTTAGTGTGTCTCTGTCTCCATTCATCTGTATAGCACACAGAAGGAATTAAACCATGTTTTTGTCTCAGATTTCTAAAGTTACCAGCATTAAAACAAGCATTTTAACATGATAGAAAGCAAGACTTACACTAATGTAGATTACTATTTAGGAGAGGTGCAGGGCATATGACATTATTTCAGGGAGTGTTTTAGAAATGTGTTGACTACTTGAGAGTTCTCATGCCGCACTACTTCTGAAGTCTGAAGATACCAAAGAGAGAGAAAAAGATAAGGAGGAAGTTAGGAATTACATCTGTGGCACGCATTTGAGTCTGCATCTATCCCAAGATTTAATATGAGGAAGCTGAACCAATGATAAATGCTGTAAGATCAAGTATCACAATGACTAAAAATGCTTGGTACAAACAATGTGAATTCATCAGATGCTGATAAAGTTCAAACTGAAGTTGCTTTTGTTGTTATTCAAGCAGTCATTGGCTGCTCTTGACTTTTTCATTTCCATTTGGAAGTCAGGTTTTATCCTTGTGTTGTAAACAGAGGAAGAGAGGGGTAATTTTTTATGTAGAAAAGGAAACTCCTTAAAAGTCACTGGTGATTTGTTGGGAAATGATTGCTGGTCTAGGTTGCTGTGTGTAATCTCTTGTTTTATCTTGCCTCAAAGTGAAAATGCTGTATCTCAAACTTGCCATGTGTAAGTTCTGATTCATTTTTAAGCAACAGTATCAGCTCCAACAGTTTGAGTTTATTATTTTTAATCATGAAACTTAGTGTGTGTGTATGGTCTAGGGTGCTACCAAGTTTTGTATCTTTGTCTACATACACGCTAGTGAGATGAAGATATTATAAGAGCTTTTCTGTTGCTGTAACTGTCATTTTGCATATGCACTACTGCCCTCTAATGGTGCTTCATCAAGTATATAACTTCTGAATGGTACTGATTTACTCCTGCGTAAAAATACCTTTTGAATTGATCATGTCTTTCACCTTGAATTTTCAGAGCATATTTTATTGTCTAAAATAAAAGATATTTTCCTTTCTACTTACAAACAAGCAAGTCTAGAATATTTGAAATATTGTACCAAATTTAATCAAATGAAGTGGGCTGAAACAGAACCCCATACATAGCTCCTGTTCATCACCTCGCTATAGTGCAGAGTGTATTTCTACTCTGTGTTTTGTTGATTAAATTTATTAAATCTGTTTTCACTATGCGCTTTTTGAGGGGAATAGTGTGCTCGTGCAGCTCCTGCTTTGCTGCTGGTTACCTCTGAAATCAGCTTTTGCTAATTAGCCTTTGCTAATTAGGGATTGTTAAACTTCTGAAGTCAGGGGTCAGCCTAGCTTCTTGGGTCTGTGAGGCATTTTATATTGAAGTGATACTTAGTATGTTCTGTCACAGTTATCACATACTGCATGTGGGCAATGTATATATGATTTCTACTAAGGGTACAATGCTACAGTTATATTTTGTAGTCTTCTGGTTCTCTGTATACTTAAATACATTTGAACTTAACCAACATGGATCTGGTTTCACTTCTATATTAATAAGCATCCCAAGTTTTTCAGAACATAGCACACTTTCCTGCAGCAAAAGTTAACATGGGTAACATAGGCTGTCTACAGTTTAAATTTTTAGGATATTGTTTAGCATTTTATTTCTGAAAATGCCATTTTGTTGTCTGGCTTGTCACAGTTCTTCACCTGGAGCTTATCACTTTTAAGTCCATTTTGGATAATAGTAAGCATAAATGACTGCAGTAGATTCATTTTTAACTACTGAAAGCAAATCTCTGTTGAATTATGTACTTCTCTAATAAACATTCAGAGTAATTTTGAAAAGTTAAACAGTTGAAACAGACTTCCCTTGCTATCCAGCACGTTCCGTTTCATATCAAGAATCTTCTCTGTGAAGCATTTTTTAATTTCCTCTTGCCTGGTATTTTAAGTCCTATAAACTTGGAATACTGGTTCTAAATAAAAGCACACTGAAATCTGTGGAATTAGGAAAAAATTGCATGCTACAAAATAATGCCTTTGTCAGGAAGTGTGCAAATCATGTTGAAAGACAGTATACACATAGGATGTATGTCATGTACTGTTTGATCAACACCAAGTACTCTTGATTTTTTTTTTTTTTTTTAAGTACTGTGATGAAATAAACACCCTACTTCTTGTAATGAAATATTATAAATTCTGTAACCCTTAAAGACAGACTGAGTCTTGAGGTACTGTGACTTCATTACATCTTTCTTTTTTCAGATGTGTTGGAAGAGACTTTCAGAGGCTTAGACTATGATGTTCGTTGTCACAAGCACTTAGATATGATCACCATGAATGAAACATTGCTTGAAGTTGCAAGGTTGAAGATGCACAGGAGTTGTGACAGCTTCATATGCATATTAGTCAGCCGTGGAAATGCTCAGAGCATCTTCTGTACAGACCCCATCTCCACTGGATTCCCTTTGGAGCAAATAAAGAAGTACTTTATGGCAGATTCATGTCCTGAGCTCCGAGGAAAACCAAAGCTCTTCTTTATTCAGAGTTACATTGTGCCAGAAGATGAACAAGAATTTACTAGTCTGGAAATAGATGGAAATGGAAATAAGAAAATTATCTCTAATGCAAAAATGCCCTTGAAAGACACTATTCCCCAAGTAGCAGATGTTTTTTGGAGTCAGTGCAAGGTGGATGTGTCTATACTAGAAAAATCTTCAATACCGTCCTCGTATTATCTTCGTTGTCTGGCTGAGCTACTCCGCAATCCTCATAAAAGGTGAATAAAAATCAGGAAAAAGGAATGTTTTTTTTCTAGGACAGCTTACAGTCTTTGAGAAAGAGTTCTGCTAGATTTCATCCTTTCTCATTCTGAGAAGTGCCTTCATGCTATGTCATAAGTTAAAGTACAAGTGTACGTCGTCCTGGAAGAATGTCACAGGAACGCAGTCTAGAGTGAGAATGAAGCTTCAGATTCTAGAGGGTAAAATAAGTGTGTTATGGCACTGGGAATTGTAGACTAAAAAGGGAAGAATATAAAAAGGGAAGAAACTGATATACATTAATATCAGTGCTATGGAGTTGAGGGCTTTAGGCAGGATTTGAGAGTGTTCTTCTCCAGCTTATGAAGTGCACACCTGGCTTCATGTCAAATTGAAGATTGCCTCTTAAATTATTAAGAATGACCTTGCTTGCAAATAAAATGCTAGCGTCTGAGATAAGTCGGGGGGAAAAAAAGGCAATTGAGAGGGAAGGATTTCATTCTTCATTTAGGCATAATTCACCCAGACTTCAGGAAGCCATGAGTTTTTCCAACTTACGATGTTGAATGAAAACTATCAAAGACGTTTGTCTATCCAAAGAGATTATCAAAAGAGATCTGAGCAAAAAATATGCTTGCATATATAAATTTACCAACAAAGATTTTCATTGCACAGCTGATCTACGAGAGCTAGCAAGCATTTTTCAGTGGACTTGTGGGTTAATATTTAGTACTTTTCACAAACCCTGAGATCTTGTAAAGAAAGCACAGATCATTTCGTTAAAATCAGTATCACAACAGTGATTTGGGATGTAATGAATTTATCTACAGAATGCATATTCAGCTTTGGGTTTTAAAGGCATAACTTCTGCAATAATGGCTGAAATTTGAAACTTTCTCCTCGCTGAGCCTATAGTTATTTTCCATCTGTGGATTGTTAAATAGTGTCTTGCTTCTTTGTCTAATAAAAAGCTTTTACTTCTGTTGCTGCAGGAAACTCTCTATATTAGATATCCATACGGAACTGAACAGAAGAGTCTATGAATGGAATAAGACAACTGACCCAAACCAGCAATACTCACTTCTGCTCCAGCACACACTGAGGAAAACACTTTTTCTTTCTCCCAGTTAACTGCTATTGGAAAGGACATGTCTGACGTAGCTGAGGAATGCTTCCTCTGGCTCAGTTGCAACCACACTTTTACTTAGACTTTATTACTGCACATGTGCCTATTGCTTCCAAACCCAGGTATTTAGAAGCATTTTAGGGTGTTTAGGCACTATAGATTTTAATATGAAAGACTGAAAGCCTGGATGGTAACAGCGGCTGTTGTATAGAACGGCAGCAGATCTTACAAGCAAGTGCAACAGGTAAACAGTGGGGAAAGAATTCTAAACTGTATGGTTGTTGGATTTTCCAGGGTTCTGTGTTTTTGTTGTTTGGTTGTTTGTATTTTAGTGATCTTGATGTAAGTGCACTGAACTAGGCTTTTCTTTTGTTGCTTAAAAAAAAGACAAGCCAGCACAAATCATTGAAATCTAATGTGCAAACCATTGAAATTCACTAAGTAATTTCTTATCACTTAAAACATGTCAGGAGAAATGCTTACTCAGCATACCTCCACAGAATTAAACAAAACAGAAGTAAGAGAGGGATGGTCTTTTTAAATAATTTTGATTCCATTTGCTTTGTATATTAGAAGTTCTAATTCACACAGAACTCTGTACTGTCAGTACTATCCATAGCACATAATGATTGTATGCTAATAAATCAGAGAGTCTGACATGTTTTGTGCTGTGTTCACCACTGATGCAAAAATGACTCTACGTGTAGCAGGGCTTTGTAATAGTCTGTGCAGATTAGAAAAATAAATAGTGGGAATTTGGCAGGTGTTCCAGGGATGCTGAAATGCAATTCACTGTGTGGTACCAGGCAAAGTATAAGTATACTGTTTAACACATTTAAACCAAAATGTAGCAACCACTGCTTCTTAAGACTAAATAAAATTATTCCAACACCCTCCCACACATACCTCTTTTGATTATGGAAAAGGTTTATCAGTTTATTAACTGATTTTGTTTTGTTTTTTAAGTTGCTCTAATCTGTCAAGAAAAGGCAGTAGTGAAAGTTGTAGCTTTTTTTCCCCCTCCACTAGAACATATGCCTGACACAAAAAGTTCAGCTGATCTGCTTGTTATGTAACAGTATAACCTGGATGATTTATATTGAAATTTAATGAGTTTATAGCATTCTCTTCCCTCTTCATATAGTCTACTTGCAAACTTTTAATACTACTGTAGTTTCCTGATGAGGAAAAAATGCCTTTTCATTCCTCAGTATTATGTTGTACTTCTAGTTGTTGGATTTACATCATTTTTGATAACCCCATGTTTTATTTTTTCTTTTAAAACAATCTTTTTATATATTAATTCAGATAAATAGCAAATGAGTTTTCAAGTGGCTTCTATAATTTTAAGTAAAGTCACATTTATCTGGTATAGTAGATGTCTAACTCCATTAAGCTCACAGAAGTCCTTCCTTGTTACATGGTATAGGTCCAGTTTCTTCCTGGCTTGAGAGCTTCCTAAACTGCTGATTGAGGAGAAACCCACTGAGCAGGTTTTACCTTACAATCTTTCTTTAGCCATCTATATATGATGTTAAGATCATAATATCCATTTATTTATATTAATATACAATTTTGTATGATATATACAAAGTACATTTTATATCATTAACTGAAGTCTTCAATTATGTCTTTGTAATTTTGTAAATTTTAAAAATTTGTTTTTGTATCTTTTTTTGTGTTGATTGTAGAAAGTGAAATGCATAATTGTGATGAAGAATGTTTGCACAAATTAGAAAAATATTTTGCTATATTACAGACCTATATATAACATACTTTTATCTTTTCACTTAATAAGGTAGTTTCCCTTTAAAAAAGAACATGAAAACTTTTTAATAGCTTTGAATTGAAAAACCTGACTCCTAATTGTATCTTAAATTAGGGATAAGTGTATTGTCTGTGCTACTGTAATTTTTTGTAGGTAGAGGTATAGGAAGACAAAGATAGTAACAACTTGTTCTCTGTAAGCATTAATGTAGAAAATACTAAATCAAATTTCATTATGTTATAGGTCTGGAAATAAATGCATTTATACTTTTGAGTGGGAAGGTCAATTCTTCCTTTCAGTTTCTACTTTATAAGAAAGGGCCTGTTAAACTGGCTCTTTTCATACACTAATTCCATATTGCTTCTGTCTTTAATGATAGCTAATGTCTTTAAAAATATGGTCTGATGTATTTCACACACAAAAGTAGAAAACTTAAGAGTTTTGCATCAACAGAAGGGTCTATATTGTATGTGATGGTTAATAAAAATAGCCTTCACTTTTAACTCTGAATATTTCATAACTGACTAGCTTACAATAAAATATAGCACAAGTGTAATTTTGAAATTCCACCTTGCTCATGTTCTTTCCATAGCGTGAGAGGATTATAAAATGACAAATTTGGAGTCTTACTAGTTCCTATTGTGACTGGTAAGGGAAGCAAATGATGTGGCAAAAAAATATAGACTCTTCTGTGGCTGTGTAAATCAGGTTTGATTCCTAATTGTCATATATAAGTATGTGATATTAATAAATGTTATTCCCTTCACAAATTAACTTCATTATTCTTCCATTTTCCTTACTAGCTTTTACATGTGATGAGTACTTCTGCTGCCATATAGACACCAAATGCAGGGAAAATGGAACCAAGAGAGGGCAGAGAGGAGGGAAAGAAATAGTGACAATTCAAGCAGAAATGAAAAGGGAAGTGGTAGGTATAACCAAGGGAAGAACACGTAAGGAAAAGAAGATATGGAGATGTACAACAGCAGTATTGGAAGGAGAAAAGATAGGAAGTAAGAATAACAGTGGATATTATTAAAAGATCTGAAAACTTTTTTTTTAGTCCAACTTTTTAGTAAAATGTTAGTAATAGGATATATTCTGTTTCTTACGAGTTTATGACATGGGTTTGTGTTGAAGGTTGAGGTGTATTCTCTGATGTAGTGTAGTCCATATCCCCTTTCTTAGGAAATAAAGGAAGAAGCACTGTTTTGAAAACAGTGGAGATGCCTGTAAATAACCCTTGTAATAAAGAAAGGAAAGGAATTGCTTTGTGTTTGGCTGCTTAGATCAGAATTGATCACAGTCCTCTAATGACCAAGGCATTTAGGGGACGTGTCCTGTGTCATGCAGCATTCATGGGCATCAGATACTGGATTTATACTCTGAAGTCTTGACCCTCAGCAGATTCTTAACCCACACTAGTACACATTCCATATTCATTCATCTAAGTAGCATTTATTGCCTTTGCTTTTCCTTCAAGAGTGAGTAATTGATTTCCTGGACTAATGTGCAGGAATTTTGCGGTGGCAGAAGTTGTCTATAACCTCTCCAGTAGATTTTTGTGCCCCTCCATATATGTGGTAGGGTCTTTTTGTTCTTGCTGCAATTTGAGTCTGGAAATTTCAGGTGGTCTAGCTGAATTCCATTCAGCAGCTAAGAGAAAAGAGGGACAACAATTCTGGATCCATTGTAACTCTGTTAGTGTAGGACCATAGAAAGTGGCAGGTGCCAGTGGAGTTTAATGGGCTGCCAAAACATATAGTTTTCTGAACCTGCTGTTGAACAAGGATATACAAGCTGTACTTCCTCTGCTTCTGCATTGTTCCTGCTCAGGGCAAGGCTGCTGGACTCATGGCTCCATGGCATAGCTTCAGTTCTGGTTTCTGAGAGCTGAAAAATGTAGTATACTTCTGTATGTGTTGTATGTATGGAATGGGGAAAAGAATTGTCACATGTAGATGATGCTTTCCCCCTGGCTCAGAAGATGTAACCCTGAAGCAGGAGATTCTTTGGTGTTTTACTCCAGTTTTGAGTAGCATGATTTTTCTGAGCTTTATATCTAGTTTACTTTATACCATTACATATTTGTGTCCTGAATTACAATCAATGCCAGCTCGTGATTCAGAAGTTGCATTGAAGAGGAACTTTGCAGTGCTCACAGTTGATGCACTACTCTGTCTGTAGTTGAAGAAGTAACAGTGACTCCCTGTATGTTTGAGTCAGAGAATCTTTACATGACGCTTCCTGAGAATGTTTTTGTGATATGCATAGCTTTTAATTTCTGACATGCAGAATGATATTGCTATGAAGATGCTGGTTGTGGTGGATGATGTGCAGTCTGTCTGCTGCGTATGTGATTGTTCCATTTAAACTGTATCTTCTGTGCTGAATTATTTGACAGCTCTGTAACTATTACTGAAGGATGTTTTCTCAGTTTCTGTGTTAGTCAAAAAAGTTGAAAGTATTTTTGGACATTTTGAGGATTGTGTCTCTTTCTGCGTGCTTTATTTTTTCATTTGTGTCACTCTGAGAGTGTATTTTCAGTTTTTAATTTATATAAATAATGTCAAAATAAATGTGATTTCAGTTATTGCCATTAGTAAAATGCATGAGCTTTGTCAGCCTTCCTTCAGCCCGAAGTACCTCTTGGAATTATTGGCCAGTGGATCTCTTAGATCTTTAGTGCTTGCTGTGGCTGCAGAGTTACCACGGTTCTGTAAAAGCGAATTGAGAGCATGACGGCCAGAGAACCTGTTCATTTCACAGAGAATTCCCCTGGCTGTGTGCTGGGCAGCAGTACGCGCACAAGGGCTCCTATCCCGGAGGCGTGGAGTAGCACTGCGTTACGTATAGGGGCTGCGCTGGGCAGGGCGCGCTCCCCGTCCTCCCGCCAGCAAAGGGCCGGAGGGGCGGCCGTGCGTAAAAGCTCCATTGAAGCCGTCTTCCCCAAGCACTGATCTCAAGTTGCACGTGTGTGATAAACCCGGTCTCTGCTGCTCCTTTTTTTTTTTTTTTTTTTTTTTTTTTTTCCTTTTTTAATGTAAACTTCTTTAAAAGGGGCTCGATACCGAAAGTGAAAGTAGTAAGAGTTACTTCTCGCTCCTTATACGGGGACTCTTGCAAGGCGGAATATTTTTTTTCCAGATTATTTAGCAAATTTCCTGGGCTGGGGCCAGGGCGGGGAGTTCCAAAAGTCCCAAGGCCGACAGGGCGGAGGGCGCTGCCCGCACGGCTCCGCACCCTGCAGGGAGGAGAAAGGGCGGCCCGGCGCTCGGCCGAACCCTGCGGAGCAGAGCCGCCCACTAGCAGCTCGTTGCGCTGGGAGGCGCGTCCCCGGAGGCTTCAACCTGTTGGCTTTGTGCCGCTTTCCAGTCCCGTTCCGGGGAATTCCGCCTCTCCTGCAGAGCTGGCGGCGCCTTGCTGCGGCGCTGTGACTCAGCACGTGGGGCCGCGCCTGGTGGCGGGGCACAGAGCGGGCAGCGCTGCGCACCACTCGCACAGCGGCCGCCGGGAGCGAAGACGGGCGCGAATTTCTTTCGAAGGTAAGAAAGGAGAGACTGGAACGGAGAGGAAACGAAAGAACGCGCCTTCTTCCCATGTTGCGCCGCTGCCCCCGGCGGCCGATTGATTCCCTTGTTTGCGGGGCCGTGGGCTGAGTTTTGTCGTTCTTCTGCGTTCGTGGTTTTGCGTTCTTTTAAAATCTTTAAGTTAGGCAGCGTTCCGTTCTGTAAAACGTTAGAGGAAAAGACAGTAATTTGATAATCTTCATCGCTTATTTTATGTCATTTTCCTTCCCTATGGATATTATGCAAAACGTAGATCGGAGCGGCAGTTCCACCACCTTTCTGCGTGCGTCGGTTTTGTGCTTGTTAGTGCCCTGCTCCCTAGCTGTGAGCCGTGGCAAACCTGGGGGGTGAGGAGGTCCTGGCCATCGAGTGTCGCTTATAAAATGTATAAGTGCTAGAGGGTTCCAAAAATACCATAGCTGTAAACCGAGTGGGGACTTCAAGCAACGAAGGGGTGGTGTCACTTCTCCCAGTGCTGCTAGGAGGGAGGGCTGGGCCTCACTATGGACGGAAAAGGACTTTAGGACAACTGGTAAATTCAGCACAGGTTTAGTGGCTGTGAGGATATTCTGAACTCAAGCAGAAAGTGTTTGGAGGGAAGAGCGTTCCAGGAGTGGCAGCAGCACAACTTGAGAACTTGTTTTAAGGGTAGATGAAGGAATTTGTTCTGGGTCTTGCTTCAGTTCGATTTGCTGATGAAACAATTATGTATGCTTGAGCTATGCACAACTTGACCCCCTTCTCCTAAAGCTATGATTTATTATCAGATTTAATTCAACTCATCGGCTCCAAATTACAAATAGTCACTATTCAGTTTGAACCTGGTTTATACGGTCTTACTGGCATAGGCAGGAATCAATTTAATGTAAGTTATTCTGCTAAATTCACTTGATTAAAGCATCAGAACAAGGTTTAGAAGTAGCTTGACTAAACTGACTTGAATTGATTCCAGTCCTTTTTGATAGTAACTGGTTTCTTAAGTGAAGAAAGTTTCACAACTTGGAGTTCAAATTGAGGAGATATTGTAAAGAATAGTTAACGAGCTATTAAATTTTGAATACAGGAAAAAGTGATCTGAGGGTTTGTTTTCATGTGGTTTTTCACTCATGACGAAGGGACAGAAGAGAGTGCAGGACTCCTGGAAACTGTCAACTCTCTTACTTGAAATGTAGATGATGCTTGTATCCTAGCTGGGTGCCAGGACTTGGAATTACATTAGAAAATGTAGCACTTTAAATACAAAATTGCAAAAATCTCTGTGCCCCCAACACACTATGATATCCTTTGTGATCTGCTGAGCTGCTGTCCACCCAGGTGCTTCAACAAATCTGAATTTGGAGGTTTTTCTTTGCTTGCTCTTTTTTTTTTTTTTTTTTTTTTCCCCCATGTACTCTCTTATATAGAAAGTTTTGGGATGTGTCCCAACTGCTCTGAACAAAAGACTAAGAACCTACCGGTCTGCCTGGGCAGAAGGAAGGCACTAAAGCTCTTTCTTAAATAAGCTTTCCTATACAACATTGCACAGACTGCATAAGCTACACTGAAGAAGTCAGTGCATAAACTTGGTAACTTCAGTAGGATTAATTTGCTTGCACAGAGTCTTTCCTGCAGGAAATGCGAAAGAGCTTAGTAGAAGATCAAGGAATAAGTTATTTTACTACATTCTCCCCACTGAGAGTTGCAATAAGCAGGGACTCTTCCCACCCACCAACAGTGTAAAGAAGTGAAGCTCTGAACGTTAAAGATTATATAAATGATATAAAAGAATTTAGGTTGGAAGGGATCTCTTGAGGACATCTAGCACAGATTACTGATCAGCACAGGGCTGACATCAAAGTTAGACAGGGTTGTATAGAACATCTGCCTGTATGGGAACTGTTGAATCACGACCTGAACCTCTGATTGATCACCTGAGGCAAGCATTGAGTCAGCCCTGGGAGCACAGGTGAAGGTAATTCAGCTGTGTGACCAGAAGAGGTGCAGCCTGGCTCCACCTCTCCTAGACCCCATTTAAGGGCTGACCCCCACTAAGGAAGGGTCTCTTTCTGGAGAGAGCTCCCTTTGGAGTTTGTCTGCAAGCTTAGGAAATGGGTGAGCCTTTCATTTATTTTAGATTGTCTCTTTCCACCATGATAATCCTTCTAGTTATGTGACCTGTAAAATACCAGCCTAATCATGCCACTCTGCTAATTGTATATTTGTTGATTGTACACTGCCAAATTTATTCTCTGTTGTTTTGCCCTTGGAGAAGGAAGTATGTTACAGATTGATTTAAAAGGAAACTTCTCTTTTGCAGAGAATTCAAGTCTTTCAAACCTCATTGGATTATATCTTATTATTATTTATAATTATGAGGATTGCTGGAGATTTGACTGTTACCAACATTTAATTTGACTTTCAGGCAGAGATCATCAGTGCCAACAACATGGAGGTTGTTGACAGCTTGCAGTTTCGTCAGCTGCTCCTGCTCATTGATGAAAAACTGGGGGCTGAAGATGTAGCAGCATTAAAATTTCTCTGTACTGACTTGATCCCCTTCAGAAAACTAGAACGTGTGCAGTCAGCAATGGACATTTTTCAGCTTCTTATAGATGAAGGTTATCTGAATGAGGAAGATACTTTCCTGCTAGCTGAACTATTATACAGAATTAAATATCACTCCTTGCTCAGTCTGCTTGGCTATACTAAAGAGAAAGTGCGAGAATGTCTGCGTGAGAAGGGAAGAGTGTCTCCGTACAGGTAAGTACGTAACGAGAGTCTGTTCTTTCCATTATTGCCATCTATAACATTCTGTTTCCCTTTCCTTTAATTTCTCATATTGCTTTTAGTTTCTCCACCATCTGTTCTACCTTTGTCTCACTGAGTCCCTCTCTTACAGGCAGATGCTGTATGAATTGTCAGAGAACATTACCAATGAGATGTTGCAGGAAATTCTATTCCTCCTGAGAAACCATCTTCCAAAGCGACACAGAACTATTGTATGTGGGGAGAGTGGCAAATATGCGTATGGTGGGGAGGGAAGAAGATCGGAGTGGGAGTGGAATGGGAGAAGAAGTGTGAGAAGTCTTTGGCAGAAAAGATGGTGTGTGACTAAGCTGGTCAATGTTCATAGGGTGAGCAAGGAGGAAGCTCCCTCTCCCTGTGATGTAAAATTGACTGTTTGGACTTCATTGATAGGAGGCAAAGCAGATGATAGTGGGATTATTTGAGACAGACAGGGCTGAAACAAATGGTTTTAAGTACTAAAGAACAATAAATGTGGTTTTTTTTTTAAATCTTCTTTATCAGTCTGCTTTGGAGTTGCTGATTTTATTGGAAAAACAGGGTCTTTTAACTGAAAACAATGTGCAGATACTGGAGGAAGTCTTAAAAAATGTTTCACCTGATCTCCTGGAAACAGTAAACTGCTACAGAATGGCAAATGGTGAGAAATTCAGAATCAGAGAATATACTTGCTAAAATGCAGGAAGCTCTATGAGGGTCTGGGCAACTGAACTTTTAAGATCTATGTGTGCTTTACTAGACTGGGACTGCTCATTATCTTCACATGCAGGTTCAATCTAACTGTCCCTAACTTGTATTGCATCATTATTCCCCACTAGGAATGTGTTTAAATATATGCCACACTCCTCAGTTTCAATGTGGGTAGCACTGAGATGATGATGACTATCCTATAAAAGACACTCTGTTATTCATAAACATATACATCTACAAAGCAGTTGCTTGCCAGTAAGCTGGCAAGGCAATTTGTGTGTTTTCTGATACCTGGTAACTTTAATTTTTAAATGTGTGATTGGTGTTCTCAGGGGTATTGTACTACAGTTTGTGACACTGCTATAGTTAATATCCTATTGAGTGACTATAAGCATACTGGCGAAAAGGGTTTACTTCCGATTATTTTAGCAATGGGAAACAAATTCTGGGAATTGCAAAGCTATGTTTTAAACAGGTATGAGGGCATTCAGTATTTCCAAGGGGTCCAGTGCCACGTACTTCCTTTGTGTGTTTCAAAGTTGTTTTCTATTTTAATACATCTTTCATTAAGTACAGATCTGCATTTGCTCTAACGTGCAGGTTTGTTAACTAAAACGCACGTGATTTCTCTCACTTATTTTACTTTTTTCCTTTTCTTAGTATCTCTGTCTCAGCAGGAGAATGTTCTTCCAATCAAGGAATCTTCACCATCTTATGCTGTAGGCATCAGAGTATTCAATTCCCCTCAGGTACGCTGGAACACATGCTGCCTACAAGGATTTTAGTGTTTGGGATTTGTTTTTAATTTGCCTTCACTTTGAAACCATACTTTGTTGGCTCTCTGTTTCACTAATTCTTTCCACTTGATTTAATAAGGTGACAAGCTTATTTATTCTGCATATAAGAAATACAGCTCTATATAGCATCAAATAATTTCAACTGAAAAACTACTGTTGGTCATGTGCAATTGGAGGAAAAGATAATACTAGGAGGAAAAATGTGAGAGAGAGGTATAAGAGGGCCTTCTAGAGAATGAGACATGAATTGCAGATTTTTAAAGTTTTGTCTGATCATCACTAAACTATCTATCTCCAAGGATTAACACCATGTATTGACAACTGGTTCAAATGGCTGCTTCTGAAGGAGTGTTCCCATTTCTTCAGCGTAGCAGTCCTTGCTCAGTTAGGTCATTTCTACAGCTGAATGATGAAGAAGATTAAGAAACCTAACTTGCATGGCTTATAACAGATTTCTTTTTAGGGGAGGGAGTTTTATTCCAGTTCTGAATGAGGAAAGGAATGGTCTTTCTGATTATACTTCCCAGAAGTGCAGTCCTGGTAGAAAAGAGCTGAAGAAAATGGGCTATTCAGTATATCAGAAGGGCTTGCATTACTTCAGCTTTGAGTTGTATTTGCTCTGCTTTCATGCATGACGTTTGGCATGTTAAGAAAATTAATGTCAGAGTACAAAAACAGATAGAAAAAAAAATTAAACATGCTATCCAAGAGAATTGATAGGGGGCAGTGTCAGACTTCTTTCTTTGTTTTTATTGATTGCCCACCTCCCTATACTGAAAGATCATTTGAAACTGAAAAAAAAAAAATTGCTGTTTCTTTTATCTGTATGAAAAAATGCTTGTTTGCAGCTCCATGAGATTTGCAATAACTGAAGAAGTCTTTTGTAGTTTCATTATGCTTCCTGCTTTCAGGAACTTGGTATTTTTGTTACCTTGTTACCTGCTACTTAGAAAGCTTTGGTGTTTATTAAGCCGGTTTTGCTAAAACCACTATGAGATGTGTGTGTGTGTGTGTATACACAATAATTTTAACATGTTCTTTCCTCTACTCAAAAAATAGGAGACCTCAATCCAATTTGTCAGTTCCAGTATCCATGGTAAGACTTTCCAAAAACATACTCAGTTTTGTTACTTTTATGCTTAATATTACATACAATTATGTACTGTAGTAAATTTCTAGCATTTGGTGTAATGCAGTACACTTACCTTGCTGTCTTACCTGGAAGGGTCTTTTGCTTTCTGCACAAGAAGATTTGAAGGATTTCTGTTCTTATGTAAATGGGAGAAAATTGGCAAATCCCATGCACTTTGTTAGTCATTCACTAGAAACTAACTAACGTGCTTTTTTTAGTAAGTGAAATAAAGGTTAGTAGTAAAAAGATTGTTTGTTCTTCCTGAGAAGAAAAAACAAGTGCTCTGTTTAAATATGCCTTAGAAGGAGTAGATCTCTGTGACTGTTTATAAAACTGAACTGTTAATTTTTTTGTGTGAGACTTTAGCTCAGACTTCTTTTGCTGTATAGATCATTATGTTGAAGAACCTGGGAGCCCACGGGAACATGCTGGAAATGTGAACTCTGTACCTGGGAGGCAAGGTTTGTCTTCTCTTAGTGTTTAATTGTTAAGCTATTTTTATTCTGTGCTGCCTGAAATTTAATGTGTTATTTAAAAGGACCACAGCAATTCTTGTAGCCCTTTCTGCCATACCTCTGGGATCTTCATAGAGGAAATGAGAAGATGCGCTGGACTTTGTCTCTCCATTCCAGTTCAGGAATGTCAGTTCTCCAGCAGTTCTTCTCAGACATTTGCTGAACAGCTGTTAAAATAGCAGAAAATAAAAGGTCTGAGGACAGAAATAAGCAAGCAGACAAAAATTGGTTTAGTTCCTAGCACCTTTATACACTAGAGAGAGCATGTACAGTTAATGTTTGCACATCTTCCAGTGGCTTCCTGGAAAAGTGAAGTTAGATTACCAGTTGAGGAAATCACCAAGTGTTATACAGTGGAAATTGATGTTTTGAATGCATTAAGTAGCCTGAGATAGGTACAAGAAGGAGGGGGGAGAGTTTCAGCAGATTCAGAAGGAAACATAAATAAATTAGCAATTGTATGGGAACTGCTGAATCACGGTCTGAACTTCTGATTGATCACCTGAGGCAGCACTGAGTCGGCCCTGGGAGCACAGGTGAAGGCAATTCACCTGTACTGCCGGAAGGGGTGGAGCTTGGTTCTATCTCTCCTAAACCCCATTTAAGAGCTGACTACCAGTGGGGAAGGATCTCTTCCTGGAGATCCCTCCTTTTGGAGTTTTCCAGCAAGCCCAGGACAAGGGTAAGCCCCCTATCTATTCTTTTTTGGTGTAATAACCTGCTTAGCCAAACTCTCTTGTGTATTTCTTAATTATAACATCTGTATATTCATTGATTATACAGCAGTAAATGACAATTTAGATCAGATCTCTGAAAGGATTATGTGCAAATAACAGTGGCTGGTAGGTATACAGCTATCTTTCTGACTCCACAACATATTGGCCTGTTAAAAAGTATCGCAGCACAACCTGCTGTTTTCCACTTTAAACTTTGAATGCTGTTTGGAAGTTTTATCTCAGAGCCATTGTGAATCGCTCAGGAACTGAAAATATTGTGTAATGGGAGCTTCACTTGTAAGTCACAGATCCTTCTTAGAGTGCAGTTTATTTCTAAATATTTCCAGTTGAAAAATTAATTTTCTTGTTGCAGATAGAGTCTATCATTGCACCACAAACATCTTTGTTCCCTAAAACCAGTGCAAGCAGAAACCTTGCCTTTGTCATGAAAATAATATAATAAAATAACTGGAAGCATGTTCAAACGTCATGCCATGTAAGTGATAGTGCTATCTCATATGGACAGAATTATTTCTTTTAGTGTATCAGCATGTTGAATATAAAAAGGGCCGTCCTGTAGCTAAACTCCTTTTTGCTACATACACCAATACTGGATTAATCCTCATAAATATTTATGCTGTTTTTTCCTAGATAACAGAGTGCCTAATCTTACACAAGTCTTCTCTAAAACGAACCTGCAGCTGTCTGGAGGATTCAGTGGTGTAGAAAACGAATCCAAGGTTTGAGATTATCTCTTAAATGATTATTTGTGAATATGTAGGTATGTAAGGTCTCCATCCCTGCAGTGGCATGCAACAACATGTGAGATTTCTCTGTGTCTTGTGAAGCTGGTTGAGCAGTCTGATGATCCAGAATATTTTGGAGGGTGTTCTAACCTTGGAGGTCAGGAACTTCACAATATTGAAAGACACAGACAAAAGGCTTATTGCCTTTGGTGCTATACACACATAATAATCTCCCTGATAGAGGCAAATCATCTGGCATAATCTTGAGTTGCAGATTTCAGAGATGGCAGCGGAAAGTGCAGGTAGAAGCAGAGGCAAGCACCTTCACAGTTGTCTCTCTCTCTGGACGTGGCTTAGAAAAAACTTCAGGGTGCCCTGAAATTAATAATATTGCCTTCACACTCTACCCACTATGGAAGAAGGGTAAGAGATGGAAAGGCAAGTGTGTTAAGTAATCATGGGCATATAATCACCAGGGGTCTTGGTTCAGGGGAAAACATGCCTTCTTTGAGGTACCTTTTTAGAAGTCTTGTGTGTGTTCTTTAAGCTTGCACAGCAGTGTAACCATTGAATTCTCCCCGTATCTTTTTCCTTGTGATAAGCACAGATATTGAGAGAGCATGTTGCTGCGTTAATTTATACCTCTTTAATTTCTCAAAGTTGTATGCCATCAACTGATGTTTAGAATGCTCTAGCAAACACTACTGTCTGCAATTCTTGAAGGAGTTTTTGGGGTGGTGTCTTGATTTCCTTCAACTAAAATGCACAAAATCCATGTGTTTTTTATTGTTCTTTCCAGTTAGCAGAGAGGAACCAGAATGGTGGAACTCTAATTTTTACCTGAGGCTAAAATTAGGGATAATATTTTAAGTTCTAGTGAATTCTCAATTTTTAAAGCATTGTTTCTTAAAAGAGGGTGGTAATTTTCAAGTCTCAGCGAAACTGCTAGTGTGGCAGGTTTGTTCATGTGTGAGATCTCTGTTCTCATTGCATCCCTTCCCAGAACCACCAGTAGGCACTCAACAGTTCTCATAAAATGAAGTCAGATGTCTAACATTGTCAAGTTTGAGGGTAAACCCTCTGCCACTTCGAGTTAAACTCTTTTCCTGACGGTGAAGTACTGCTAACCCTAACACCAGTTCAGATTGCATACAGATCACCAACTCAGTTGTTAAACCCTTCCTCTGCACTTCGATGATTTGGTGATAGTATGCTTGAGACTTCATCCATGCCTCTTCACACAAGGAGGCATCGTGAGTTCCACCTTGTCAGAAATAACCTGGAGTCTTAGGCACCTCTAGTGTTCTGGTTGCTAGTTTTTAAACATGTTAAGGAATAAACATGTTAAGGAAATATGATTTCTAGAGATCACACATCCGTCACTTGTGTTGAATAAGTTCTCTGAGGCTTAAGTTGTTTTTCTTATACTTTTTACAGGTGTCAACTTACAAAATGGATGGGCCACAGAGAGGAATTTGTCTTGTTATTAATAATGTTAAATTTGATGGGGTTCTTCAAGAGAGAAAGGGTTCTTATAAAGATGCCTGTAAGTTCTTGAAGTAAGATTTTTGAAGGGTTGATCTCTTTATTTCCCATAGTTGATTTTCTTGTATTGGTCTATATTTTTCATACGTGTTTCAGTAAATATTTTTAAACAGTAAAATTTTCTATATATGTTACGTCACTTATGTATTCTTGCAGGAAGGACTAAAGACTGAGTAACCACCAAGTTTTTCATAAAGTTAGATTGTTCTTTAAACATTTCAAGAATTCCTTTTTACTTAGTTTTAATTCCTTATTATAGATATAGACTGTCATTTTATATAATGCATAACTCCTTAAGTAAATAGCTCCATGTATACTCTTTATTCTTTTTGTCTCTTACTGATAGAACTCTAATAGGCAAAACTGCAGTTGGAAAAGAGCATTCTAATAAGGTTTCAAAAGAGATCACCTTAATTTCCATATGTAATTTTGAACTCAGTTTGTGATTGTACACTGTACAATGTCATTGTATTTTCTGAAACTTGTCTAGAAGGAATCAGTTACTGTGTTTGATCTGATGCCACCTTTATTCCATTAACTTTTACTTGATAATAGTATAAGGATGAATTTGCAGAAGGATCAGTGTATGAAGTCTTTTACAGTTAATATTAGCTTGCATGATGACCATAAAATGGCTTTCTACTGCCTCATTTTTTCTTTTTATCTTTAATTATAGGGGAATTGGAGAGAGTATTCAAATGGCTTGGTCTGGATGTGAGGACTTATACAGATCAGACATCTGATCAGATTAAAGAACTGATGCAAGCATGGCAGAGTTCAGAAGACCACAAGGATAGGGACTGTTTTGTTTGTTGCATTCTATCTCATGGAGAGTCAGGAGCAGTGTATGGGAAAGATGGGAAGCTTGTATCAATCCGCACTATCATGACCTACTTCACTGCCAAAAAATGTCCACAGTTGACTGAAAAACCCAAACTATTCTTTATCCAAGCATGCCAAGGTAAAGAGATACAGCGTCCTGTCTGTGTTGAAACTGATGCACGAGTTCCTAACTTCTCTTCTGTACAACAGAGCATTTCTCCTTCTGAAAGTATTCCTGAAGAGGCTGATTTCCTCCTGGGCATGGCCACAATTGATGGATATGCTTCTTTCCGACATGTCCAAGAGGGTACTTGGTATATTCAGGCCTTGTGCAGCAAGCTACAATTGTTGGTACCAAGGTAAATAATTATTTACTTAGCTCTTCTATGAAAAAATGGGAGGAATTTCCCCTTCTTTTATTTTTCTCTGAAGGCAAATTCAAGTAGTAACATTAATCCCTATTCTGAAATAGGCAAAATCGGTGAAGCTGCTGGTGTGATAATTCATCTTTGATAAATTTACATTAACACCAGTAGCAGCTTAGTGTTAATCAGGTCAATGTGAAGTTTATTGGGGAACTAACCCTCAAAAAAAAAAAAAAAAAACTTAAAAACCTCTGAACTTCAAATCTCTATCATATTAGATGGAGCCATCTGTTTCTTTAGTGGATTTAGATGAAAATATTTTGCTCCCTTCTCTTTGATTACTGTGTGTCAAGTCACAGAATCGTATAATGGCTTGGGTTGAAAGGGACCTCAAAATCATGAAGTTCCAATCCCCTGCCATAGGCAGGGTTGCCAGCCACTAGATCAAGCACTGGAAGTCAGAGAGAGAAAAAGTTTTTGATTTCTAGTATGACTCAAGTGAATATCAAAAGAAGGGGAATTTGGAAAAAAGGGTGTGCTTTGTTTAATCTTTATTGGCTTTAAATGTTTATACTGTAGCTTCTAGATTATCTGAGTGTTACATGAAGAAACTGTATCATCTGCTCATTAATAAATCACTTTTTATTTTTGCTTTCTTTTTGGCTGCAGGGGTGAAGATATTTTGTCCATCCTTACAGAAGTTAATGAAGATGTTAGCAAGCGTGTTGACCGTTGTGGAACAAGGAAGCAGATGCCCCAGCCAGCATATACCTTAAGACGACGACTTATATTCCCAATACCTAGAGACCCTCCTCCTTCACAGAGACATCAAGACTTTTAAAATACATCTTTTTGTCAGTATGTCTCTTTAAATGCCATTCACAACACCTGTTTAAGGCAGTTACTGACTCCTGAGGAGCTATTAGTGTCAAGGCAAGGCTTTTTTTTTCTTGCCAGAGAAAAAAAAACTGTGAAGCTGAGTTGGAAGAGATGCAGTTAACATAATCAGTGTGCCAGCTATTTCAATCATCTATATAATCAGTGTTTTCAAGGATGGGAGAAGCAAGTTTCTATGATGTTAAACATTTTTGTACTGGCACAAACTGCAGATGTAAAAGCCTATTTCAGCCAGCGTAAGGATTGCATATGTAGCCTTCTATATATTCCTTTATATCTAAACTAGAATGTTAAGTCTAGTTTAGAATCATCAAATTTTATTTTGCATACTAATATGTTTAAACCTACCTCTAAAACCATAAGCTGTGTTCACAGAGAAAGGCAAAGTTAGGAATGAAGAAGAGAAAGTTTAAGTAGTAGGTGGAGGAGAATTTCTTTCATTCCTAATTTAAATTACTTATAACTACTGAAAAAGCACTTGCTTTGTTCACTGGACACACTGATACCCTCTAATAGCTAACATCAACCTCTCCTACAAGGAGATGTTTCCAAGACTGAGTATAGACAATATGCTACAGTATTCCCTCTGTGAAACCTTGTTAACTCTCATTTCCACATGACTTCTTGTAAGAAAAGTTAGGATGGGACAACTGAGCACTACAAAATGATGATATTCAGCATTGTATCTGCATACATTGATCAGACTGATTAACTGGAAACATTAAATTTCCTGATTTCTTACTTTAAGATATAAAATGCATTCATGTGGGACAGAAGGCTCTTTATTAAGCTTCTAACAGAGTATGTTTTAGAGTTAACCAAAATAATATGATGTTATTTTGTTAGAGACATTTACTATGTGTATCTGTGTCCTTCCTGTTTGTTACTGAGTTTAATGTATACTTATTTTTAAGAACTAGGGAGTGGGGAGGGGGGAGAAAGTAATAATAAAAATTTTGTACAGGGCTAAAGCTTATCATTGCTTCTGCTTGCCTACCTGCAGAATACATGTAATGGAATAATTCAGATGAAAGAGGCCTTCAAAGATCATCTTGTCCAACTGCCTGACTGCTTCAAGGCAAATCAAAAGATAAAGCATGTAATTGAGGGCATTATCAAAATGCCTCTTAGACACTGACAGGCATGGGGCATCTCTAGGAAGCCCTTTCCAGTGCTTGACCACCCTTATGGTAAAGAAATTTTTCCTAATATTTGGTTTGAACCTACTCTGGCACAGATTTCTGCCATTCCCTTGTGTTATATCTTTGTTGGGCCTCATCAGTCAATGGGATTTTTAGTGCTTCAGGACTTGAGCTGAAGTGAAGCTTAGTTTATTTCAACAAGACAGTGGTGGTTATCTATAATTACTAGCTGTAAAATAGCTGAAGACTTGGGATGAGAAAGTGAGAGAGCATGGACTGATGCTGCTGGAAGCAATTTTTGCTTGCAGTATGCACGATTTTTGGGAGAAGAGTTTTGCATCATCCAAAGCATTAAATTGCAGACAATCTGCCAAAACATACTTGTTACTTTTTGTCATTATGAATTGACCTACATTCTAAGTCAATTCATGACTGTATTCTAAGTCTTCTGAATCAGTGTAGTTGCTATGCTTGAACTTTCATTTATGTCACAGGTAGAAACTATTTTCTCTGCTAGTAGAATATATAACATAATAGAATCACCAAGTATCTGGCTCAAAATTAGTGTTCAGATTTGGTGCGCTCCTCTTTTGTATGTTTAGGTAACAACTGAATTTTATCAGTACAAGCACTGACAAGAATCTTAGAATCATAAGAGTGATTTGGGTTGCAAGAGTGTGGGAATACAATAAACTGTTCAGAGCAGCAGCTGTGGAGCAAGATAAACAGCATGAGAACCAAGGACACCTAGAAGAAGAAAGAATGTCTCACAGCTCAGATTAGAAAGCGCCTGCATGAACAGTTGAAGAGTGTTTGTAGAATGCTCTGTTGACCTGTAAAGGTGGATAGGAAAGCTAGACAAAGGGAACTTCTGAAGTGATGTAAGAACTTGCAATAAATGATTTGGATTGTTCTCATCTGAGTCTGTGCATCAGATGCTGCAGAAGAGACCTTAATGACATTTGTGGTGTAACTGCATCAGTGGACAAAATCCACTATCAATGCAAGCTGGGGGATGAAAGGATAGGACACAGCCCTGCCAAAAAGGATGTGGAGTACTGGTGGTTGGTAAGCTAGACATGAGACAGTAGTGTGCCCTTGCAGCCCAGAAAGCCTGTGTCCTGGATTGTATCGAAAGAAATGTGGTCAGGGAGTTGAGGGAAGGTGATCCTGCCTCTCTGCTCTGTACTGGTGAGATCTCACCTGGAATATTGCATCCAGGTGTGGAGTCTTCAGTACAAGAGAGATGAGATGTGGGCCTATTAGAGTGCATCCAGTGGAGAGCCACAAAAATGATCCAAGGGATGGGAGTATTCTCCTATGGGGGCAGACAGAGCAGGGGCTGTTCAGCCTGGAGAAGAGAAGGCTCTGAGAAGACCTTATAGCAGCTTTTCAGTATCTAAAGAGGGCTATAAGAAGGAAGGGGAGATACTCTAGCAGGTTTGTTGCAATAGGACAAGGGGAAACAGTTTCAAGCTAAAAAGGGCGGGATTTAGATTGGGCATATGGAAGACTTGTTGTAATTTATTTATAATTGCATATAATTTATTTGGAAGATCTTTAAAGTGGGATTTGTATAATTGACAAGTCCTTCCATACTGACAGTTTTTTGCATAGGAGTGGTTTATCCTGGCTTTTGCCAGTAGAGGCCAGTCACAATGCTGAGTTGTCAGTTCCCTCAGCATTTTTCACTTCCTTGAGACCAGCCTTTCTGGAAGAGCTGAATTCTTGCTGGGCTGCTGTACATGGAATTAATTGGATCATCAAGACTGTTCTTGGTGAAGCCAGAGGGACCAAACAGGACTGCAGAAGAGCTGACAGAAATTGGAGCAACTACGGGTTAACAAAAGAGCAGGAATATTTTGGGAAAGATGAGAGAGAAATAAGAAGTGAAATCATGAAAACAGGAAGAACAATACCAGAAGGGGTGCTCCCTGGAACAACTGCATGATGGGAGAAGTCTCTGTCTGGAAAGAGCTATCTTAGGATTGGATTTGTCTGCAAATATTCTTCATACTGTACTAATCACGGTATTTTGCCTCTTTAAATCTGCAACTGGAATCTTGATTCATTTAAGACACAGAGCTACTGATGAAGGAAGAGAGAGAATGCGGCATGGGACAACGTGAGACACAACTGTTTTGGACCTGAAGATCAGAGAGTGCTTGTTTTGTTCCTCGGTGTCATTTCTAACCTTTGGATAAAAGGAAGATTCATGCAATTGAATGTCAGACAAATTTTCTGAGTTCTTACAAGAGTATGACCTTTGGAAGAAGTTTGTAGGCCTCATTCTATTGAAGGGTATGTTATAATTTTGAGTTCATAAAGGTAGGTAGGTTGAAATCAATGAAAGGTAGCTTCCATTGTGAAATTTGAATATATTTCTGTTCTCTTGTCTCTTTTCATAATACTGACTGAGCTTCAGATATAAATGGAGGGGTTGGTAGCTGTACTGATTGTTGTTCATATGTTTCCCAATGCATGGAGTATACCAATGACCAACGGACCATTCTTGGAACTTCATCATTAAAGGCAGAGTTCTATGCATGAAAAAAGATGTAAATGCCAAAATTTAAATACTGTTTAAATTCTTTTGCAAATGGGGAAGTGTGAAATAATTTCAAAGAGATGTTTAGCCTTTCAGTTTCCTGTATGCACTAAGTACTGCTACTGAATATGGTGCTGATATTTCATTTTAGGAAATAATCTTCCATAAATACGCTTGTTAAAAGTAGGCTAGGTAAGTTCAAGTGGGACTTCAGAGAATGGAGGTAAGATGTGGAAGATCTGGTGACACAACAGGGTGATGGAACTGAGGTATTTTTAAATGGGAAGATGTAATTAATGCACGTCTTTACCACTATCTTTTAATTAGGATTCATAGTTAATCACTATTTAATGAATGGTACCATATGCTAGCAAGTCCTTGCTATGCTATTTCAAAAGCTTCAGTTATTTTTGTAGGTTTACTGATTTTTCTCACAACCAGTGTAACAATTTCCTTCATCCAGAAAAGTGATAAGTGGAGAAGGAAATTGCTGCAAAATTATCACAGCTTCGATATAACTTTCATTTTGTAAGTCATATGACAACACAGGCCAGAGTACACCCAGTACTTTTCCTGAAACTTCCAAGACAATTACTTTCATTTTACAGAGTTGTTTCAGCGGTCTCCCAGCCTGCCTTTCCAAGTAAGTGTGTTAAAGTGGCTATTTATGGTATAGAAGAAATAGTTTACGTTGTATCGGTTTTTATTTTAGTGAAGTAGAAGACAGATGCAGTTAAATATTGTTTTAGTGTGCTCCTGTATTTACAGACAGCATGTAGATGGCAAATCTGTTCTAGTTGCAGTAATGTTGTAGGTCTGAAACTTGTTTTCTGACTTTTTATTGTGCTCAAAGGCTGGATGCGCAAGTCAAATTTAATATTGGTGAAGCTGCTGGAGTGGTAGGTGTAAGTGATGGGGGAGGAGGAGGATATTTGATGATCAGTGAAACAGAACTGCTTCGACAAGATTCTCCTGGTCTTTTTGAAGAGGTTGACATGATCCGTATTTTATCTGAATATTACTGAGAGAAGGGGACTGAATTTTACTTTCTGCAGATGAACCAAAACAGGACGATGTGCTTTGTTTACACTGACCAAGGTCAGAAGCAGTATATTGAAGCAGCTAAATAGCTTAGAAACATGCTCATATGTGCCCTTATCTTTGTTAGAGTGTAAAACCTTCATCTTTGTCATAGCGCAAAATCTGTCAGTCTTATTTACTGTGTAGTCTGTATTTCAGATTTTGAGTGACTCTTGCTCCCAAATGGAATCATAAGAAATAACAAAAGAAAAAACACTGACTTGCCAGGATAGTGTGTCTTACATATCAGTACATCCTGTTATTAAAATACACCGTAGGAAGTGAGAAGGGTCTGTGACTTTCTGTCATTTTTATTTATGTGCAATTTTTAGTGTTCTTACTTAAGTTCAGAGAACCAAAGGGCTAAGCATCAAAGCTATGTTTGCAGGACCGCTTCCATCTACTGAAGTATTTTTTTATTACATATATTTATCTCAGACTATTCTGTATGCCATGATACCTTTTATAATCATGTGGTTGCACTACCATTACTGACAAAACAAATCAAATTCTGTGTTTAGATCAAAATCTTAACGTGAAATGAGTTCAGACTTCCGGAAACTCCTTTTTGACATTTCTGAGGCTTTGGCCACAGAAGAACTGGCAGCTCTGAAGTTTCTCAGCTTGGAACACATCCCTGTGAGGAAGCAGGAAGATAGTGAGGAGCCCAAAGCTTTCTTTGAAGTGCTGAAGGAGAAAGGGATGATCGAGGTGGAGGACCTGTTCTTCTTGAAGGAACTGCTCTATCGGATCAATCGGATAGACCTTCTGGCTTCCCACCTGGGCTCCAGCCGAGAGGAGATGGAGAGGGAGCTCCAGGTCCCAGGCAGGGCACGGGTGTCAGCCTACAGGTAGGCACAAAAGTAGTATACTTTTGCAAGCAAAATGCACAACAGTTCTGTTGTCTTTCTTGTTTTCTGTCTACAGTGTTATCTTTATGAATAGTTCAGCATAATTGTATTTATTACAGCATGACTACTTGATGCTGTGAATTTGGAGACCGTGTTTTACATTTTGCCACATTTACTTTTCATAAATTTCTTAATCAGTCTTTCTCTGTCCTTTAATGGCAGACAACTGCTATATGGAATTGCTGAGAACTTAACTCCAGAAGATGTCAGGAGTGTAAAATTCCTGCTGCAAGAAAAATTACCAAAGAACAAACTACGGGATAATGCTGTAAGCAAAATGATCTTGATAAGTTTCTTGCAAAACTAGCTCAGAGACTGCCTGTTTTAGGACAGGAGTAGGGAGAGACTAGTGCGCTCATGAAAATTCTGTTCTTCAACGATTTGTGATGGTAGCCAACAGGTGCTCTGTGACAGCACAGACCCTTTTTTCTCACTTTTTAACTCTCCTGTTCTCATTTTGTCTCCACTACCTCTTCATCTGCCTCTTCATCTTTTTTTCTTGCGATATTTGTCATGCTCTGCCTTTCTTTTTTTCTTGACTCTTTGTAAGGTATTTGTGCATATGATGTATCTAATAAAAGTGATGTTTGCTGGAAAAAAAGCAATGTTTCAGACATCATAAAATGAGCTCTCAAGTGAGCTCCACCACAAATTTTTGTGTGTTACTGAGTACATTTTCTTCTTCATTGTAATCTGAGGTAACAACTCTGTTAATTTCCTCACAATCGTATTAGGAGGTTTGGTGAGCTAGTCTAATACCTGTTTTGTAAATAATGTATAGGGCTTTGAAATTATTTGGTATTACAAAGAAGCTTCCTTAAAAGTCCTATTTGTATTGTAGCAACTGTAGCAAAATTAGCAGATTTACCTCCAACTTGGCGGACAAATCTGCTTTAAATAATAAAGTCATCATTGAAGACATTTCCTGTGTTAGAAAATGTAGAGTTGTGCAGCTAAATGGCTTACAGTAGTTCACCTGAATGCAGAAGCACAAGAGGATGCTGTGTTATTATCTGCTTAAGTGTTTTGCACTGCTGAAGCAAAGCAGGATAACCTTGCCATAGGCAATTTCTACAAATATGGTCTTTATCTTAGTGATTTGTTTCTTCATTCACATTGCATCCTGACCTTTGTTTTAATGCAATTTAGAGGAAAAATAAATTGATCTTCAAGTTGATCGGTCTTCGGGAACTGAGGATGTTGCTTTCTCCAGAAGCAACTGAATAATAAATAACTGAATCTGATAATGCAGTTATTGAAAGTCACTATATGATTTTGGGTTATGCTTTTTGTTTGTTGTCCCATTTTTTTCTTTACCAGACAATGTTGAAGGTATTAGTGGAAATGGAAAGAAATGGAATAATTAAGGAAGAT